TATGTATATAAATTTAAAACAACAAGAACCGCCAATTGATCGTGCTATAATATCGCGTATTGCATCGAGATGGATGAATGCTATGTTGCAGCACACAAATCTTAAGAAATGCGACAGACTCAACTACGTGTCGAGGTTTCCTGTGCACCCAACGAGCGCCGTACCACACGACACTAAATTTTCTAAGGCATACCTCAACAAAAAGAAGAAGGTAAACGTCTGATATTCTTCAACATTACCGTCGATGTACTTTGATGATAACCATTCCACTGAAATTGTTTAACTGTTTGGGACAACATTTGACGTTAGTTCTGAATGCTGCGTCAATGCTTTCAACCAAGTATAGAGCCAAATAGTTATTATCTCTTGATTACGAATGTACAAAATGGTTCGCTTAGATATTGCAAGTCGACGACAAAAATTTCCAAGTATAAACATGAGTTCGTCTCGAAATATGCATAATGTTTAAGGTTGCCTCGACCGGTATGCTTCTCTATTATTTAGCGGCCATCTTTAAAGGGCTGCATCCTCGAGTTGATGATGATTTTGTTGATAAACTCAACTATCATTATACTTCAGCGATCATATTTGCGTTCGCCATAATTGTTTCTGCTAAGCAATATGTCGGTAAGAGTATCATCAATTTCATTTTTCTACTATTGGTAGTCTCACGTCGATAGATCAAGCTTACTTCATTAGGATCACGTCTTGAAAATCTGTGTGTCGCATGTTTTTATATTGTAACCATCTATTCCAACTTCACAAGACTTTAGAAGAGGTATATTGTGCTATTTTCAGTTCATCATGAAGCAACCTGCAAAAATTTCACGACTGAACATACACAGACACTAGCCTAGAACGAATTTAAACCTGTACCCTAACTCAATTCGGGCGAACGACGCCATGATTCATCCGTGTGCGAATATTCACCAGTAGAAGCATTACAAGCTTCAACAGACATTACAAGCTTGAACAGTCCCACAACAAAATCAATTTTGAACACAAGCGATAGAAATAATTCGACAAATAATTTCTTACGTGACACCTAATCCTCATTACCTTGAATATTTCAAAATTACTGCAATATATTCAATGATTATTGTCAAGAGAAATTCATTATCAGTGTAAAAAATCTGAGCGTTTTCACCATAGTCATAGCAGACTAGTTTGTCCATGTCACTGAAAGCTGAAAATATATAGGGGGCGTGATGAATTGGGTTTCGAAATTTTTTATTTCCTTGAAATTGAAGACTACTTCAACTTGTCGTTCTTTCAGGTTATCCTATTCAATGCTGGGTTCCAGCACAATTCACGGACGCTTGGGAACAGTATACGGAGAATTATTGTTGGGTAGAAAATACCTATTATCTGCCTCTTACCAGTGCTTTTCCTCTAGAATACGGCGATAGACGGTGAGTCATGAAGCATATCCCTCAGACATAAGCTATTGAATGTGTCGTTTTTTTCCGCAAGAATTAATGCAATGCGGAGAGTTATCTTTATGAATCGCTGTATTTCTACTTAGGAATCATTCAAATAACCTCACCTCGTAACCCTTTTTGTTGGAACTATTCATTTTGCAGTCGTTCAATTATCATTATCTTTTTAGAGCTCGCCAAATCAGTTATTACCAATGGGTTCCATTTGTTTTAGCGCTTGAAGCGCTAATGTTCTACATTCCATGTATTATGTGGAGGGGTCTGCTACACTGGCATTCAGGTAACTGCATTTTTCATGTAATGCATTTTCAATCCTTCACTTTCTCTTCAGACTCTTTTAAGGAACATCATGGCTGCTGACATTGTCAGGAATAGTGCAAGTGAGGTCAAAAAAAAGAAAATTTCGATGAGCTCGCCCATAATAGTTTTTCAGACTAGTATACTTTGTGAGTGTACGCTTATTGGTCCCATATCATAGAAGAACATTCATTAGCACGTTCAACACCTGGACTAACTCATGGGTATTAGAAAAGTTGCTTGAATATCACTAACCGGGATGAAGTTATCGTATTCGTCGCTGCCAGTTAGTAATTAGCAGTTATTTGTGGTCATGTCGATTTGAATCTGTCGAGAAAAGTTGCAGCTTATCGCTAGATTTCAACGAATTTTTTCGATTCATTATTCAGTCGGTAATTCATCTTACAAAGCCATATTTCAATTGTATGAGTCTACATTTATCATTCTTTTCATGTTCGGTTTGAAATAATTTCATCCAAGATTGAATGAATAAATAAATTCATCGTTAGCTGACTTGATGATTCGATAAGTGAAAAGTGCTCACATGGAAGTATTCTATTCGAATGGTCAAGTTGCGATCTAATTCAACAACGGTTCTCTTTGAATAAGATGCAGTGGCAAAGTGATTTATGTGCTTTGCCGATTTGTGAAGCGCAACTAATGAGCGCCGTTACTAGTCTTGCCATGTTGCTGCCTTCATCCTTATTGTTACAATTTTCATCGTTTCGCAACGAGAAGAGAGTGAATGAAAATGCTGACTAACATGTTTTATGCTGCTAGACTTACGCCTTCCGCCTCATCGCAAATCCACTTATGGGTGTCTTGCCATCAGTCGTTCAATTAGGGACCCTGTAAAGCTCAGATAGACGCAAAAGCATAGACGGGCCTACTTTAGATCTATGCAAGATGAAGCGTGAAACTAAGAATAAGTGTAAATTCCAGCGCAATTCGGCAAATGAGGTTAAAATGAGTTGCGATAATTAAAGCAAGATACAACTAGGCGCAGGCTCAAGCTGAAGTTCACATCTGGGAACCGTTTGGTTGTTCAATTCATTCCTTCATCTGGCACAATAAATTCATTTATTTGTTTGATAGATACCTCACCTTGGCATGACTGGACTATCCACTTGTTTTATACACATCTCGGGTACGGCAAAACCGTTTGTTTGTTTAAAAAGTACCTCATCCAAATATGACAAAATCGTCTATTTGTTTTTAGGCACTTCACTCCTGTATGACAGAATCTTCTAGTGGTTTGTAGATATGCTAGCTCTGGTATGAGCCTCAGCCTAGTTCTAAGCCCAAATGTGATGCATCGCCGTACCTCACTTTGATCTTCGCCACTTGATTACAGTACATCAGTTCGCGCTTGTACACAAGAGTGAGAGTGTCGTTTAGTCATAAAATTCACGCATGTCTTGTGGATAATATAGGCGCACAAACGGTTTACACAAGCACACCCTTCGAGGAATAATCAACGAAATTGTACTGATGGATACTGCATTGAAACGTGAAGAAAACAAAAAAGTGCTGCCTGATCTACCCACAGTCATGGATAAAAGTATATCAATTTTTAGCCCAAGAAAATTCCATTCGGAAAGTACTTTGCAGGAACAGTCCAGGGAAACACCAAATCAACACACTTGAAATTTTGGCAGCGTTTATAAAAACACCAGACAACACCGAAGATACCAAATAATAAAGATTATGACAGTCATGTGTGATGTCAGCGAGGTGTAAAAATTACCTAAATGCAGTTTACCTCAAACCGCTCGAATCAGGCTCAGGGTGAAAATTATGCTTACTCTCCTGAATAGGCTTTGTCGTATGTTTGGGCTTAAGAACTTGGACATGGTTATTTTTGCATGTCGCCTATAGGAAATACTGACATCGATTTGAAGTGTTGTGAACGTGTGCATCTATCCTTCATTCCTGACGTACTCACATCCTATAGGAAATACTAACATCGATTCGAAGTGTGGTGAACATATACATGTATCCTTCATTCCTGACGCCAGCATTGTATTTTCACTATTAGAAGTACACTTTATTTGAATTTTACGCATACTTAATGAATCGAAATGAGTAAAGTGGAGGTAAAACATATGTTGAAAGTTGCAGTGACGTTTACTTGACAAAAAGTCCATTCTGTAAGCTATCTTATGAGAATTAGTAAAAACTTTCCTTACTGGTAAGCACTGTTGGTTGTCTGGAAGGAAACCGTGAGAGTTGTTATCTTTTCCTGAACACTTGCGGGAGAATGTCTGAGGAAGTTGGTATCGAAACATTGCAATGTTAGACTCAAAGTAAATGTAACGCCTTCTGAATTCATATGAGAGCAAGGATAAAGCATGCTTGAGGAATTTTGCGACGTAGAATATATGCTAAATGAATCGTAAGTTAAGGGCAGAGTATAATTTAGAGATTTGCCGTTCACTGACATGACCGCCTTTGACACCAGTGTTGAACTGAGGGTAAGCCTGAACTTGCATAAGTGTTCAAATGCAATTTCGGACTTCTCTTCTAAGCAGGTTTTTATTACAATATTTGAGTTTTATTAATTATCGAATTAGTTGCAGGAATCAATGTGCAAAGTCTCACACAAATGGCATGCGATGCAAGGATGATGGATGCCGATGCAAGAGCTGCTACTGTGCAAACGATTGCCGGCCATATGGAGGATGCACTCGAAATACAGCGAGAGGTATGACATTTGCAAGCAATGTGTTTCGAGACGATCCTTCCGTGAACTGTTCTTGACAAACACTAGCATTCGTCGGTTCCTAAAACACCAGGAAATATTCCGCTTCGTGGAGAAATCTGTGCGAGTCAACGACAGCAGTTATTTGTTGTTTCTCTGAAAGGTTGCCTTCGGTTCATTGTAGTTCGTGACACGGAACGCTAGTCTCAAGAAATCTGCAATGATTGACTACCTACGGCACTAAATATTTCGTACCGTGATGTTTATGCGATGTACGTTTTATTGTCAGTAATTCGGCCTTAGGCTCAAGCCTGCGTTTATTGATTCCCTTCAGCAGCATTCAAATTTTTTCCATTCGACTCCCTTCATCATCCGCTCTGGGAACCTCCAACGCAAAAAGGTCATGTAACCAAACATTAGATTAATACGAATCTTCATTCGGCAATTCTGCCAGTTGTTTATGGGCGAGGCTCATTACCTCGCGGATAATCTCTTGAAAACATGATTGTTGAACGAACCTCAAGCTCCGCCCATAGAACTGCCGTCTTAACGAGCTGTCTTAACAATCTAGTCTTGCACAATGTGGAATGCCTGTGATCATTTTTGGTGAAGATGTTTAAGCACGAAATCACATTCGCTAACCTTTTCATATGAGATGCATGAAAGAATATTACAGGTAACTGATGTATCAGGACTGTGTGTGGGCAAGCGTTGGGGATCGTACGTTACATGCCTTTATGTGTTCATAAAGACACTTTATCTTGTCAACGTTGTTGCGCAAGTGTTCTTATTGAATACATTTCTCGGCACTGATAACCTCTTCTATGGCTTCCACATCCTCAAAGACCTTTTGAACGGCCGGGAATGGGAAGTGAGCGGTAATTTTCCACGTGTTACAATGTGCGATTTCGAGGTAATCTTTATTCCAGGACATTTTTTAATGAATGAACATTTCAATCAATTGATATTATCGCAACTCTGCAGTGCCTATTCGAGTTGCATGGATGGTGCGAATTCACATAGAGGTTTTCGTAGTGCACAAATTTTGCCAATTCTGTTGCAATAGAATGAACACATGTCGTTGAACGCGAATCAGATAGTACATTAAGTGAAACGTATTTCTCGCATGAGGACAGTTTAAGGAACCGTTCAGATTTAGCTGAATATTTTCACTTGCACGGAGATAGGTTCGTTACGTATATCGCATGAGTCTTTAAAGTTTGTGTGACTTTAAAATTTATTCTGATTCTAGCGCGTTCGAAACATTCTTTTCAAATTGCAATTCATTCACAGTGATCATTTACAGAATTGTCTTATTCTTGTGAGTTCATTTCCAGGTGCGCGTTTTGGGTAACGTACATCATCATACAGTGCAGTGCGTGCTTATGATTAACATGTTCAATGAAAAAATTTTCTTGTTTCTATGGTTTTGGTATTTTATGGTTTCTATCGTCAGCACATTTTCGATGGGTCATTGGATGCTCATATCATTTCTGCCTGGACAGGTTTGCATCATTAAGAAAATCAGCAAAAAACATTCAGTGAATTTATTTTGTCCTGAATGCACAGCAATTAAGCCTTCAGTTGTTTAACTGAGCATGAGCATAACAAAAACGTATTATACTTCGAAAAGTGCATCAATCTTTGGAACTTACATCTTTGTAACATTAGTAACTGCAGATTCCTTATGACGATGCAAGTAGTTTAGGAGTTGGAATCGTTTTACTGATTGTGAGTAAACAAAATGATTTTCTATATCGGCTCGTTTGCGCATGAATCTATTTAATTGATTGTGAATGATCTCGTGCCCCCAAAATGATCTGCATACGTTCAGAACTAGTTAACCAATGCAAATAGCACCAAAAAGTGGTAAAAAACTTTGATTGAGTGTATTGATTGAGCTCCGTCGAAAGTTTTGAATTATTTACAGTTTCGAGTCAAATCAAAATTTGAATTGCATTTCTCACTGTTTAAAATGTCGAATTATTTTGTCTTCGGAATCGTACATCGGCTCAAGTTGTCCAGGATGGTTGAGGTTTTGAATTGAGAGCGAAAAATTGACGAATTCTCTCGCAACTTTTGAATTCGAAATGGAAAAAAATATTTAAAGTGAATTTGGAGCCCCCGTGGTATATCTCAACATGAACAAAAACGGCCTAGAATAAGCCATAGCCTGCGCTTTGGACTAGTGTTGGCCTAAACCTGATTGTGAGTCTTAGCATAAGATTAAGGTATATGTCAAGCTGAATCTTGTGGAAAGCTGCAATCTAATACACGCTTTAAGCATTAGATTGAGTTTAAGGACTAGCCTAACCGTTAAACACAGTGATTTCCAGTTTGAGTATGGGATAAGTTCTAACCTGAGCCTGCGGACTTCTTCTTCAAGGATAGCAATTTTATGACATTTCATGCAAAACAAGAATTAATGAAATAACTTCGAAATTATGATGCACAAAGTTCGAGTCTCGAAATCAAAATTCCTTTGCAGCATATGAAGTTTATTCGGAAATACCTGAAAGCTACGGACCTCGCAACGGACAGGCAGTCTGTTAAAAAGTTTGTTCACAAATTTCTTGGATACGATGGTGTATTTTGTATGAGGATGATTAGTGCACACGCTGGCGACATAATGGCTACTGAATTGATTGTCGCATTATGGCATAATTTCAATGACAGGTTGGCGATTCACTCAATCACTCACAATCAGTGAAATGTTGCGAAAGTAAGATGAAAATTCAGCTTCTATGTCATCATTTTGTGGTATGATTGTTTTCAGCTAGATCAGTACAAAGTTTATTTTCCGAATGATGAGCGTATCATGCCTTTGTTTGCAACGAATAAGCACACGCATTAGTTGTTGTGTACGGTGACAGATGTCGGATGAAGGCAAACATTCAATAGTGTTTATAAGGCAAAAATGCACTGATTTTTTTTGGAATTTTTAATGCAGGAAATTGATTGAAGTTCGAATAAGGACGTTTAGAGCATTCCATTGGATGCCGCTTTTCGTGAAAATGTCATGGTTTGTTTACAGGGTACGGAAGAGTCCGATCGAAATGTTCGAGGGTGGTGTAACGCAGAGTCCAAGCAAATTGGACGCTAATTTTAAGACGTGGCTCTTAGGTCAGACAAGGTGAGTGAAATTTCGCACGAGATGGGTGAAAGTCGAACACAACGGCAAATCATTTAAACATGGAAATGTTTAGTGTCCATTCATAGCTACGTTCTCTTCATTCGCATCAATATGGATTTTGTCTTGTTGTTTCTATCTTAGTGAATCATTCCAAAGTAACATCCCCTCCTCCAGTCTTTCCACTAGTAAAACCAACCAATATTTATTGACAGTGTCCTTGAAATTTTAACAGTAGCTAGTGAACAGAAGCAGAATAATGCGTATATAAATCGAAACCATTTTAGTAGGCCATAAACGATGAACAGTGAAATGGCACTGTGGTATTTTCTTCTTGAAGGTAACCGCCCTATGGTAAAGTCAGATAACGTATTCTCGAAAAACCATCACTGCCTCTCATTCGCTTATAGATTGTTCTGTGTGTTTTTTGCTCCGAGTACCAGTTAATTTATATTTTTCGCTCTATTAGCTTTGTAAAAAAATAACAAGAATGTGAGATCATAGTTTGTCTTCAAGTCAAGTTTGTGTAATGAATTCGAAGTTTTCGAGAGAAATCTTCACTTATGAATTCAATTTTGGTTGAGTGGAATGAGGGAAACGAAGATCTACTATACTCGATCGAAATGTGCATACACAGCAGCTATTACGTTAATCATTTATTCGTACCCCATTCAAATGATTGTTGAAATAGTATTGCCCTGGTCTGTTTTGAATTGTAATCGATGTCTTGTTGAATTCATGTTTTGTAACGCAGTATTGTTATGATTTAATTCGTTTCCACCCTCCAGCTTCATTGTGAATTATGATAAATCTGCCTTCATATCATTCATTTGACGCCTTAACAAGCATTAACAGTACATCTTCCCACTGTGAATCGTACGAACACAAAAAGTCACTTGATGAGGTTGTCATTGAAAAGAAAAGTAGATGAAGGGAAACTTATTGCAGGAACAAGCCACCATTTGAAGGTGGTAATCCGACACGTGGCAAGAAGCGGAGGAAATCAGATGGATATTTTACTTTTGTTTAGACGGCTGCTTTCTATGAATCAACTTCCTCATATCGCCAATGTTGTACTTAAAAACTTCACCTGAGACACTCGATGAACGATGTAACAACGCATTTCCTTCCATATTCACCATTCCCAAATTCACCAGCATACATCAAGTGCTCTCTACATATTTATTCTGTTTGCGGAAAAAACATACGCCGCTAAAGGCCTAACATTCGACCGTAGTCATGCTACAAAACCTTTGAGTGTTTCCGTCCTCACTGAGTTGCTCTTATTTGATTAATTTTTTCATGAATTTTCAAGGGAACTGCTTGAACTCAAACATACCATGAATTCGACGTGATTTGAGCAATGCTGTAAGTAAGCCATTTGAATTTCTGATCTTTATGTAGTGTTTAGATGGGTTGATAGGGAATTTCTGAGAGCAGGTGGGAGTGATGCAATCAAGTAAGGCCTATGATTGAAATTTTTTATTATCAATTTGGGAAATTTTCACATCTTTTATTAGTGTTTGAAACTTTGTTTGAGTTGATATAAGCGCGCCAGAGTATCAGAGATGTCTCAACGTTGAATGGCAGAATTTTGCTTCACAGCTATCATCATTTGAGAAACGTTGAACTAGGTAAATTGCTTCCATTGGACTGCTGCGGTCTCGTATGGCATTTAGCGGTTTATTCATCGTGTTGAAATGTGGCCATTATTGCTGGCCGCTAAAGTGCCTAAGTATTTTCCGTTTCAATCGCGCAAATGTTAGCGAGCTTTCCACAGAGAATCTCCACTTCTCAGCGGTGCTCCAGGATGCATTGTTTTGTTGTTCGATGTAATTGTATATGAGAGATTTCCTTCCTATTACCTTTTCATTCTCACTTGTATTCCTGTGGCCAGAACAGAATATCTTTGAGAAATCGGCATTTATTACGATAACTATTCCAGTTTTCTATGCATGTTTATGTGTTGAACGTATGGCATATTAATATTCCATTGAGAGTTCTGAATGACAAATTCAATGTTTTCGGCTGTAAATTTAAACGTTGATGAACATGTTCGATTAAATTTATGGATCTGTCGAAATAAATGCCGACCTTGCGCTACATGACATAATCAATTTCTACTGCCACTAACGTCTTAAACCTAGCATGGTTGTTAATAGAAGTACATCAGTCTTTCATATATCGCCGTTCTCGTCTCTTCTTTCGGAAAAAATGGATAATATTAAAGGCTCACGTCTTTTGACGTACGCATGAAAATACAATGAAAAATTTGCCGCTGCATTTCGTTACGAATTTATTAAGTTCCTCTTTCAATATGTCTGTATGTTGTGTTCGTGAACGTTCATTTGGTTTTTTTCCATTGCAGTGTAACTGAAAACAGTGGAAGAAACATGCTCTGAATCTTAAAAATTGATTTATATTAGAACATATCAACAAATGTTAGCCAATTAATGGAGCGTACTCAGTGAACACTCTTTACTTATCAGATACCACAGCTGCTAATTCGAATGTATCTACTAGTTACCCGTGACAATTTTGTTATCGTATTTTGCTGTTCTTGTTCGTGTAAAAAGCAACGTAACGGTGCTTTTACAAGAATGAAAGAGTTCATATCTCTGGAAGCACTCTGGGCGCATTCTTGCGTGTTTCCTCACTGCCCTATCCGCTTCTTTCCACAGTTCCTGTCGATCGTAAGAAATTCATGATTCCACTGAAATCTTACTTTCCGTTACAAAATGGAGTGGAACTTTTTGCATTTGACCAGAAAAAATAATTCCATCCTCATCATTGCACTATTCACATGACAGAATTTGATGGAAGAAGCGCATATTTTCAAGTGTTCTGAAATTATTCATTCGTCTTCGATATTTTTCCAGAATGTTGCAGCAACCGAACATTCGGTTGTTGACTATTTGAAGCAGTCAAAGCACTCACGGAGTTGGGTGTTGAGTTCTTATAAATAAATAAGATTGTCGTTATACTTGTATGCACGAACCAAGTCACGAATAAATGATTGTTTTGATGTGCAGTAAACACATGGAGTTGCTTAGTTAATCGATCCATGACTGAATGGTCACTGATCTGTCGATCGATTTAAAATCACCAACGAATCGTTGTTCATTTGATTAACCGTTTGGTCAACTTGACGCAGAAATGGCCATTTTTGACCGAATCGGTGAATAGACAAACGAAAATTTGTTTCCCTGAAAAATTGTATACCATAAAGTTAAATTTATAAAATGTCGATATTATGAGCGGTCATCTGGAACTATAAGGAAAACTAAGCTTTCATGCTTGCGACATAACCCGTGCACATGCATGCATGGATACAACCTATGCACGATTTCCAGAAGCATCATACAACCTACAGAACGGCGATTATAACAGCAGTTGATAAAAGAAGTGATCAAGACGTAATTGCAACGTTGTTAGAGCGTTACGCAACGCATCTAGAAACTTCAACACGGAATCTTCAGGAAATGAATCTTGTTCAAAGTGATCTTGTGTTTGTTCATTAATTAAAGTTTCTCTTGGCCCAGAGGACTCACGGTCAAACATCTGTGTCTTGGCTATCTAAGTGATTAAGGTCAATCAAGAACACGTACCTCCCAGAAACCTATCAAGGACGTCAAATATGCAAACTGTAGAAACCACTGAAGTCGACACGATTTTTTGCATCACTATCAAAATTTCAGTCCTGTCAAAATGTGCTCTCTATTCGTTCTTCCATGTGGATGCGATATAAAGTATAAGCTTTCTTCCATCCGGCATCACAATCGTAAATAAATTGAGCACTTAATACCAGAAAACAGATAATGAATATGTATTCCTGAGGTATTTATATCACCTTCAAATGTAATTCATTGAAACCTTTCAGCAATTGGAATACAAAATAGATTCAAAAATTTGATGATCACGAAGTCATTTAAACGGGAATCATAAGCAATTTCAGATCCATTCTGATAACATCTTTTGAAGTATATTTCTTGCTCACAACGGATGCTTCATTGCTGCTTACATTTTATTTGAAGGTCAAAGCAACAATTTTTGCTGGACATTTTTGCATGCATGCATAAATTCTGGAACGCACTGTTTTTATGAACCATGTGAGCAGCACGTGTTTTTACTTTAAATGATTGCTTACGTTTACTTAAACTTTTATATTTGAGGTTCATCGAGTATGGCTGACTACAGGCAGGTATTGCTATTGAAGACTTGAGAGGAGAATGGTTTCAGAAGTTAAGTACTTCAATATGATCTTCATGGCTTCCCTCTGCTCACCTTTTTTGTCCAAATAGTAAAATATTAGTGGCACATAAATTTTTGCAAGAAGCTCATCAGTGAAATCACACCAACCATTGACTATCGTTGAATCCAATAACACCGCATTGAATAAATGGTACCAATCACATTCGATGACGCATTATAATGCTACTGGAACTAGCTGATTAACGAAGAACGTATCAACTTAATGAACAGAAAAAGTTGTTCAGAGCTCGAATATATCACGGCTTCAATGAACTTCTGTTTTGGCAATTGCTCTCATCAACTGTTGAGGTTCATGAAGATAGAACTTCGAATGGAACATTCGAATGGTAGAATATTATTCAATTCGAGAATAACGCATCGTAGTCGAATGCTCTGCTGTGTAAGCAATCGCATTGGGTGGTCCAATGATGCTTTTGCACGCTAATGACTAGTTTCCATGATTGCTCATGCAAGGCCCATAACTGAGAGCCTTTTTGGTCAGCCTAAAAAGTTGCTCACTTCAAATAACTTTCGACGGATGACGGTTTTCGATAATCGAAACATAAGGGTAGAGCAAAGTATGATCAGATGAAGGAGAATTATGTTGTGCACACTGTCCAGTGTCCATTAGTGTTCGTCGGGGAGCAATTTTTTGCACGGGGGGGGTCCCTGCGGGGAGTAAATTGGACGGGGGTGGGGGTTCCCGCGAAAAAGTCGGGGAGCAAATTGCGCGGGGGGGAACGCCGTCGGGGAATGACCGCTCCCCGCGTTCTCCGGCGGGGAGGACGGGTAGCATTTCAGCCCAATTTTTCGATAAAATCTCAATTTTTTTAAAGATTTTTCTTCCTTTTAATGTATTTTTTGAAAATTCCGTTGCAGTTTCTTAAATAGAATTTTTCTTCCCGATTTGCACCTTTAGAGGTGAAATGAAATCTTTTTTCAATGATAATACGCTCACGACTACAGCTTTAAACAACATGTTACTACTATTCAAAAACCTCACAATTTTGCTTGTTCCAATTCACATTTATTGAAAATAATAAGCGTGAATGAATATGAATAAAATAAGAACAACAAAAAATTAATACCAATCAAATGAAAACAACAACAAATCGAATGCATCAGCGTCACCGGCACTATTTGTATCGAATCAACAGATCGAAGAAGAACGACTTCATGTGGATGACTTCCCAAACACCTTATAATCACATCACAAAAGAAACAACAACATTTGAAGTGTTGCAGCGATACTTCGTCATTTTGAGTGGACTGTTCGCGAAGGTTTGCAAAAGTGCGACGAGCTCCCCGTCCTCCCCGTCGGGGAGCAAATTGCGTTGGGGGGGGGGGNATTGCGCAGGGGGGAGCGCTCCCCGCGTTCCCCGCCGGAGTCCCCGACGGGGGCCCCGTTCCCCGACGAACACTAGTGTCCACTATTACAGTTAACGATTATCATGATGCGTATTAGATGTTTTCGTTTGCGTAGAGATAGTTGCGATGAGTTGATGTACAAAACTGTGTTGTTCTCAATGCAAATTTTCCTCTGCATTCTTGACTCCACGTTCAATCAGTTTTCGATCAGCACAACGAGGGTGCATGAAAATGGCTTCACACTTTCAGCAATATCTAAAAAATTATCACTGAATAATCAAAGCCGATTCCACGAATGAGAAATGTCAAATGATTCTGTGAAATGATATGCAACCTCTTAACAAGTGGCAGCTTGCTAAACGAGCAAAGTGGATTGAAGGGAACAAAGGAATTCACACAGAAAATCATGTA